CAAGAACACACTTCCAGGGAGCCGTCCTCTGAGTAGGTCCTTAGACAGAGGAGTGGGCCCACATTTTGCTGCTTGTTGGAATCATCTGCAGGTCCCTAARAAACACTGAAGTCTGGCTGTAATCCCAGACATTGTGACTTTACTGAGGTATGATTGACATGCAAGAAAGCTGTAATATTTAACTTAGACATCTGAATGACTGAAGATAGATATACACCTTTGCAACCATAACCATAAATAATGGCATGAATTTAACCCCCCAAATTTCCCCCTCCCTCTTTTCTGGTGATAAGAACATTTAACATAAGGTCTACCCTYTTATTTTGAGGTATTCAAATTTTCCGTAAAGAATATCATGTCGTTAACTACAGGTAATGTGCTCTACTGTAGATCTGAAGGGCTTAGTYGTCTTCTATAACTGCAACTTAACTACCTTTTGACCAGCACCCGCCCTGCTTCCCTTTCTCAGAAGTCCTAGAAGCCTCCATTCTGCTTTTATGAGTATGACTACTTTCGATTTCTAATATAAGTGGAATCATGTAGTGTTKGTTGTGTCTGGTTTATGTCATTACAATTCAATGGCAAAAATCAGATTAAAACATGGGTAAAAGACCTGAATAGTTATTTCTCCAAAGACCGCATCAAATGACCAACAATCATGTGAGAAGTTGTTCAATATCACTGATGAGGAAATGTGAACCAAAACCATGGAGATAACCACCTCACTCTCTGTTGGGATGGCTGTTATCAAGAAAAGAAAACAAATCTTGGCAAGGAGTTGGAAAAAAGGGAACCTTTGTACAATATTGGCAGGAATGTAAATTAGCATRTGGAAAACAGTAAGGAGGTTCTAAAAAAAATTGAAAATGATTCAGGTATCTTCTGATTTCAAAAGAATTGAAATCAGGATTTGGAAGAGCTATTTGCACACCTGTGTTCATGCTATGTTATTTTCAATAGCAAATACATGGAAAAATCTACATTTCCATTGACAGATGAATGGATGAAGAAAATGTGGCATATAYGAGCAATAGAATGTTGTTTAGTTTTGAAAAAAGAGGGGAATCCTAGCATTTGTTATAACATAGATGGACTTGGAGGATATTATGTTATAATTATGAATCACTTGGAGGAGATTCTAATGTGTAGCAAAGTTTGGGAACCTATAGAGGAGGAAGTAGTGAGAGTAGACATTTCGCTTACAGTGATTCTCACACTTGAGCGTGCATCAGAATCGCCTTGGGGGTTGTTGTTTAAACACAGATGACTGGGTCTCACCCCAGAACATCAATAGTTCTGCAGTGGAGTCGAAGAACTGGCATTTTTAACTGGTCCCCAAGTGATGCTGATGGTTGGGGGTCACACTTTGAGGATCACTGGCTTGGAAGAGATGAGTCTTGCTTTACCACATATAGCTACATAACCCTGCACCTGTCACTTGTTCTTTAAAAAGTCCAGTTTCTGCATTTATAGCATAAGGACAGCAGTGGTGAGTGTGTCTTGGGTCATTGGATGGGTGAAATGAGATGGTATTGCAAATTGCTTAGCTCACGGCCTGTGTCGCAGGAAATGGGCAACCCACGCTGGATTTTACCAGTGTGTTTCCTCAGCTGGGGTCTTGGCAGGTCTTAGGTTCAATCTGCTAGTTGTTCAATGTGTTAAAGGGAGTTTTTGCTCCTGAAAGTCCTACTCTTAGGCTTTCTGAAACAGGAAATCTGGGTACTCTCATGTTCTGCAAGTGCTCTGGGGTCCAGCAGAAAGGGTCCACCCTGGGGGTGTTGGCATAGGTCAACCACGTGTTCCATCAGACTCCAGCCTCACGTGGACGGTGTGGCCTGGTGGATCCCTGCTCTCCTGCCCGGGTTCCATGTCAGGCTGGGGTCGTTCTGCACCACCTTCCCAACACCTCTAGGGCAGTGAGTTGGGGTTATCCTAGTCACATGGCAACCAARCTGGTACCCAGGGAGATGGGAACAAGATGGCCGCCAACGGCCTTGGAAACCACAMAATGTGTCCTCTCGATGGGCGGATGGATGTCCACACCATGTTTTCTCTTTTTCTCCCCATTTGCCCAGAACTCTCTTGGGTACACATTTCCCTCCTTTCCCCTGTCCTAGAGAAGGGAACTGAGGCCTAGTGTTTATCCCTGGGTGGTAGATGCCCTCTYCAGGATGGAAGGGATGCCCTTGTTGGCCTGAGGCTCTGAGTAGCAGAGTCAGCAGGTGGGCACAGGCTGCAGAGCAATGGGGCACKGCTGTCACCTCTTCCTGGGCCCCCTGGCTGAGTGCATTTGTGGAGTTGTATTTTCCATGTTTTCACCAGGCCAAGTTCCAGGGGATTTTTGGTAGTTTGAAAACATCTCTTATTTTTTAATTTGATTTTATTTTTTGTAGAGACGTACTCATTCCGCTAATCTTTACTGCTCCCACAGGGTTTGAGGACCTGGTGCCCGTGAATCCCAGTGAGTGTGGAGAAGGGGCACTTAGGGCTGGCCCAGAGGGTGAGAGGGGGAGGCCAGTTTTGCCCTGAGTTCTGGTTGGTCAAGGTGCTCAGGGTCCCTGGGGTGGGAGGGGTGAGTACCTGGGTTTTCCTTGGTTCCTCTTGGATTGAAGAGCTGAAGGAGACACAGGCGGGGTGTGATGCATGGAAAGGCCGCGGGAGGTCATCTTTTTCAAATTGTTTATAGAAAATAACCCAGTCCCAGGGAACAGGGTTGACTTGCTCCAAGTCACAGAGGATGCTGGGACAGAACAGGGCCTAGGATCTCAGGCCCTGCCTGCTTTGGTCACCTGTGCCTGTGTTCCTCCCTCAGCACACCTCAGGCATGTACCTTTGTCCTGTTTGCTGGGTTATTGGCTGCTGTTATTTGATATTAATCTGGTGTTCCCATGGTGATTAATGCTAACCCCTTCCTGAAAAGAGAGGCACGATAGGATTCAGGTGAACCTCTAGCAGATAGGCTAGACAGGTGCTCCCTCCCTAGAGACCATTCAGACGACAGTGCAGGTGGTGTGCTGATTGTTTTAAGTAGCTGTATAGTAGTTAGGCCTCATAACTCATGGAGGCAGTTATTGGTATTCCTACTGTACAGATCAGAGACGTAAAACAAACTGCCTAGCGTCACACWGGAGACAGGTGGCAGGGTAAAGTCGATCCACTATTTATATTCTTCCGCCATTACGCTGCCTGCTATTGCAAACTAAGGAAGATGCTGGACCCAGAAAGGAAGCAGCAAAGAGCACCAAGAAAGACTATCACCTGTTCGCCCTGAACCTGTGTAAGTGTTTGGTTTTCTGGAAAGATACAATTGCTTAGAAACAGGCCTCCGTGCCATCCTGGCCGAGGCTGTCACGTAATAGTGATGCCAAAAAGTGAACGTGAAAATTCAGTCAAGTGTAGGATTTCAAATATGGAAAAAAACCAGACTGTTGGAAATTGTCATTGTCAATATGCCTTGTCCCTTGATATGCTTGTGAATTTTCCATTCACACAGACGCCACGTGCCTTTGCTTTCTCTCCTTCTGGTGATTGTGATGGGAAGGAGACATGAAAGTTATTTTTAATTTGGCCACTGAACGAACATCCAGGCCTTCCCTTCCAGCAGCTAAGCCTATGTGTTTTCTCAACAGGGTATTAATTACCTTTGGGAATGGCCAGACAGACTCTTCTGGCATCTCTGGCTGCCCTGCCGGCTGCATGCGATGGCTTGTGGACCCAGCAGGACTCAAGAGACTTCCGCAGGATGCATCCTCCTTCTCAATAAACTCAGTCATAGGTACTGGGTAACTTGTTAAACACATTTATTGATTTTTTTTTTTTGACAGTAACCAAACACAGTGAGTGACCATTTATAAACAAGAAAAGAAAGGCATTCGTTTGTACTTTGTGAGATCCGGCTGCACCTGGAGAGAAAGACACCCCTTTCCCGGGAATTTACAAGGCAAAGTGCATTCCTTCACGGGAGCATCACAGGGGAGGGAATGGCAGTTTTTGGAAACGCGAGAAATCGGTCGCCTGCAACCTCAGGCTGAAGCTCACCTTGTATGAAGGATGGYGACATGGAGTGGAGTTAAAGTTATACTTGCTTAGCAAATGCATTCCTGATTGCCACAAACCCAGTAAAACTGGCTGCAGATGAAYGGACATGTAGATGAAGGAGAAGGGAAACCAAAGTAGGCAGCTGCGGGGAGCCAGGGCTCAGCCTGCCGGGAAGGAGAACAGACCCGAGCCAAAAAAAAAAAAAAAGTGAAATTAACTCGTTCAACACATTTATTGAGCTGTTAACAATAACCAAACACAATGTATGACCTTTGGAAAACAAGAAACAGCAAATGGATCAGTTCTGATCTTGGCAAATCCTACTACAGATATGTGACAAAGAGGGGAAATAATTCCATTTCTTTATAGTCTGCAGTGATATATATATATACAGTGTGTAGCTCTTCAGTGTCTGTCCTTTTTTTAAATTTCTTTTTTTTTTTTTAAATCGTTGAGTAAACAGAAGAATCGTTATCTAGAAATAAAGTGTCCTTGCTCAGCTTTGTCCTGATTCACTGTCACCAGCATCCTCAGAGGATCCTAGGACACTGTTGGAGAGGACTAGAAGCAATGTCCGGTTGATGTGTTCAGAGCTGTTTTCTCCTCTCTGTCTCTTCTGGAAGAATCTTGTATGTACAAAGGCTGAAAAGTCTCGTCGGGGGAGATGTATCAATTCAGGAAAATGGTATCAAAATTGTAATCGGGTTAACTGGTTATTTTCTTCTAAGACCTCTTAGGAAGGAGGCTTTTGTTTCTGAAAATGACTCCTCATTACTCATTATGTGTGTGTGTGTGTGTGTGTGTGTATGAGCACTTTGTGTGTGTGTGTGTGTGTATGAGCACTTTGTGTGTGTGTGTATGTGTGAGCACTTGTGTGTGTGTGTGTGCGCGCGCGCGTGCGCGTGCGTGTAGGGGTGTGTGTAAGAGATGCGTTCCTCTGCCATGGTTTTTGCAGACCATATTCATGAAGAAGGGGCCAATCCAAAGAGTGAATGAGGCTTGGGGGAAGGAAGAAAGAAGGGGGACATTCTGGGTTACGCCAATTCACAGCCKTAGCGTTTCACTGAGGTGGGATTCTTCTTGGCTTAGTTTTCCTACTTGAGAAGCCACTCGTTTACTGAAAAGAGAGAGAGAGAAAGAAACAAACCACACATACACACACACATACACAACACAAAACAAGGCATAACTGAATTAATCTGCACATTAACGGAGCCTGACTCCAAAGGAGAAGGGGCTATTTTGTAAATGCCAGCTACTCCCTTCCCCACGACCCACTAGACAGATGCTGTTCAATATGGTGGCCGCTAGCCACGTGTGGCCACTGAAATCCAAATGAGTTAAAATGCAAAGTTTAGTTACTAGCCACCTATCAACTGTTCGACAGCCTCGTATGGAATAGATCATTTCCATCATTGCAGAAAGTTCTAGAGAAGGGCACTGGTCTTGACCAGGGATGGGCAAACTTCAGACCAGGACCTGTTTTTGGGAATCAAGTTTTATTGAAATATTGTATTGTTTATTGTAAGCGAAGCTTTATGTATGGTAATCCAAACCCCTGCATCTGGTTCTTGTCTGTGGTTGATGTCACTCTACATTAGAGTGAGGCATGTGTGACCCGCAAAGCTTAAAATATCGGCTCACTGCCCCTTTATTTGTATTTGGAGAGTGTGCTATTGCTACAAAAGGCCTCCCCACCCAGGCTCTTGTTGGTCCCTCACAGCAAGCAAGGAAGTAAATGGGGATAGGGGCTGTCAGAAAGAATCCCGGTCTAGAGGGGTAAAGGAGCTGGTTGGGTATTTGTAGCTGGTTAGAACAAGGCCTGGACCTCAGTGTCCTGACTCCCAGGCCAGGACATATCGAAGACATTACTGCACCTCCACCTCCCTTTCCACACTGGGAGTCTGCAAAATGACCACCAGATATTCAGTCCCTGTGCAGAAGGAAGGGGAGAGGGCTGAGGGGGGGCCGGGGTTTCAGGAGGCAGAAGTCATCTTAGACGTACCCTGCAGTAGGAATCATAACCATTCTAGGGTCAGAGTATTGGACAAAGATATGTTCACACATATTACCTCATTGGACCGGATGGCCTGGCATCCAGAACATTGTTCAACTTTGGGGTATGCATAACCAAAGGCCTGACTGCTTCTTATTGTCCTGTTCTAACATATAACCTTGGGGGAAAAATCAGCCTTTCTGGGTTCTTGTTTAAAATGGCAATAAAAAGGGCTGTCTGGCCTGAACCAGAGGGGTATAAAGGTTTGATACATGTGACATCAAACTTACATACACGTGTAGATATGCATCATATATATCAAATATTTATCACCATCTAGTCACAATACATAGGCTTTCCCAAAAGAAAATCATCATGCAAATAAATGTTGGGAGGGGGTCCCCTTGTCATCCACAGTCATGATTTCTATAGACCTTTTAAGAACAGGTCTAAGAGGGACATGGGGCTCTGGCCTGGGTCCTCCTCTGCGGTCTGAGCCACCGTACCCACCTCTATACTGAAGCTTCTGGGCTCGGTTGTTCGGACAGTCCTTCCCCTGTAAACTGAAGTTGATGTTGGTGCGGATGCAGCGGTTGTTGAGTGGCTGCACAGGCCTGAAGTTGTCACTCATGCTCAGAAAGATCTGAGATGGCTGATTCTGGCTGAGTAGGCGTAAGGAATGCATCTGAGGAGAGAGAAATAGCTGTGTGAGATGTAGTCACGCTCTTTGATGCACAAAGCAAGAAGTGAGACCAGGCAGACTGGGCCAGGTGGCACCAGCCACTCTGAGCCCCTTTCCTCCTGGGTCCAGTTGAGTTGAGGAAGTGCTAAGGCCTTCAGGCATGGAGCGAGCCTTGCTCCTGGCTCGCTAGCTCGCACGTGACTCTCTGGGTTATTTATTGCCCCCCTCGCATGTGCCATTTGTTAAAGGAGAAATTCCAGCTAGGTGCTCTCCAGGGTTCCTTCTTGCTTTGACACCCCATGGTTCATTCATTCCCTCACCCCCATGTGGACATTACCCAGACCATAGTGATTGACCCAGGGGGTCAGAGCTAAACTAAGCTGGACCAATTCAGTTCCTTTTCTGTGCATCGCAGAGCCAGGGGTCTGACCTCTAGCACCTGCCGCCATGTTCCGCCACAGGACTGAGAAGCAAAAGGAGCCCGGCTCTAGCAGGAGAGAAGAATGAAGCAAATGTACAGTGAGGAGAGAAAAGCAGAGGAAGGGCTTCTGATTCTGGGGAGTTCCTGACACCCGTTTCTGATCTCATATTCCACAAGAAGCCCCAGTATCTTTTGAATAAATCCTTTGTCTAAGCTTCAGCTACCTGCAGGTTCCTGGTGCTTGTCACTCAGTGAGTTCCAATCAATACAGAGAGGAGGCTGTGAACATGTCTCCTGTCAAGGAGGCTGAGTTCCGCTTCATTGGCTCATCTGTCCTTTAAGTTTTGATGGGCTCTCACAATTGTGGAACATCAGAGCATGTAATTTACCCCCATGATAAGGAGGAGGAGTATCGATTTCACAGAGCAGGGTGACAGACCTGAAGTGCACCATGAGCCACAGAGCAAAGCTGGCACAGGAGGGCAGACCTGGCTCCCATCCATCTAGAACATCCCATATTCAAGAATGTGTGTGGAATACCATGTATCATGTTGCCTCCTTTTGGAGACCGATGCATGTGTTATCAGTTTACAAAGGCCTGAGAAATCCTTCCACAATAAAACTTATGTAACTATTTAAAACCCACCTTTTCCAAACATGTCCAATGTTATCATTCATTTTCTCCTGTGCGCTTTAGATGGTATAATTGTAGAGTACATTTTGGGAGCTAACTGTACTGTCTTCTCTCACTCAGAAAGGTGGGATGCTTCTATAGTTAGTTCATGCTAAGTCCTGAGGCTGGCTCTTTAAACACAGGTATTATGAGTTGAATTGTGTAACCCTCAATCTTCATAAGTTGAAGGCCCTGGTAATCTCGAGTACCTCAGGATGTGACCTTACTTGGGAATAGGGTCACTGTAGAGGTACTTAGCTAAGGTAAGATGAGGTTACTAGAATGGCCTCTTCAAATTAAGCATGATTGGTATATTTATAAGAAGGAGGACTCCATTTGTATACTATGAACTGAAATGCATTCTGCTGTCCTGTATAACAAATAAATATATAAATTTTTAAAAAATAAAAAAAGAAGGAATTTGGACACAGAGACTCAGAAAATGTCACACGAAGATGAAGGTAGAGATTAGGGGTGATGCTTCTCATACCCAGTGGCACCAGAGACTGTGAGCAAACCATCTAAAGCCAAGGAGAGGCATGAAGTATCCTTCATATCTTTCATAAGGATCACCTTTCATAAGATCACCTTGATCTTCAGCTTCTAGCTTCAGGAACCAGGAGTCAATAAGTTTCTGTTGTTTACACCACCCAGTCTGTGGGACTTTACAACAGTCCCTAAGACAACCCAGCCAGTCTTTACATCCATCTTCCCCATTAGCTAAAGGACGAAAGCTAAGCTCACCTGCATCCTGGTTATATAGACAGGCTTGTTCATTATTATCCAACTTGCTGTCTCATAGCAGGGAGGGATGGTCATCGACCCATCATAAGTTATGAAACTGGAGGTCTCTGGATATAGTTCCTCTATATTAAGTCCCTGTAGTAAGTATGCATCATCTAGAAAAGAAGGTAACAAAGACTTAAATGTTAAGTTTCTTAGGAAAGTACTGGTATTGTTTATATATATTTCTTTTTGGATTCCAGACAACTGGTATCTGTCAGGATAGGCTGCAGTAACAAACAGTCCCATCACCTCCTTTCCCTATTTCAATCACTTTAATCAACAAAGTTTTGTGTGTGGCTCTCAAACATGTCCATGCAAGTTTGGCTGAGGGCTTCCCTCCAGGTCTTTATTGTACACGTTTTGGGACCCAGACTCTTGGAGAAGACATTGTCTGGCTGCATTGTGATTTGTGGATCATAATGACAGAAGGAAAAACAAGCATGGTGAGATGTTTGTTGGCTCTGAAGGCTTTCGTCCCAGAAGGGACACATTGACATCTGCTCTCATTTTGGTAGCCAGAGAGTTCCATGACCAAGGCTGAAATCAGGGCTGCAAGGAAGCACATTCTTCCCTTGGGATGGGACATTGAATGCTGGTGAGCTGAAAGCAATATGGTCCACCACAGGACCATGGCGGAGTCAAGTCCTTCATGAGGGTCCCTGAGACCTGGGCTGTAGGCATGGTAGTCACAATGGAACGGACAAAGACCTGTTGAAAAGTTGCCTGGTTACGATTATTATTTATGAACATCAATAATTAAAAGAGTATTCAGCTGGGTGCGGTGGTGCACGTCTGTAATCCCAGCAACTTGTGAGGCGAAGGCAGGAGGAGTACAAGTTCCAAGCTGGTCTCTGCAGCTTAGTGAGTTCCTATCTCAACATTTAAAAAAAAATAAAAATAAAAAGACTGGGGATGTGTCTCAGTGGTTAAGCGCCCCTGGTTTCAATCCCCAGGACCAAAAAACAAACAAACAAAACAAACAATAACTGTTAAGAATATATTCTAGAAAGAAAAATAACTAGGTTAAATCCTAGCACAAGATTCATTGGTCAAGTTCAACAATTGACTTCATTTTTGACATGTCTCCTCCTGGTAGTCCCATGTAGGTAAACTTTTCTTAAACACCTGTCTAAGCAATTCACATTTGCATATCTTTTGCTATTACATATAGTTTTCAATTGTTAAATATGGAGGAAAGAGAGAAAGAAGATACAATTCCAATCATCAACAACAATTACCACTAGCACCTTGCTAAATTTCTTTCTATTTTTTTTAAACTCAGTGTATAGGTTAAATTTTTAGAAAACTAGAATGCACTGGGGTTTTGAAATCTGCATTGACTCTCTTCCTCTCTTCCCTCCTCCCTTCTATGCTGCTTGCTGGGGCTCTCTTCCCCTGGCTTCCAAACCACAGTGCTCAGGGTTCTTATTTCTGACCATTATTTCTCAGTCCATTGCTGAGTCTTATCTTCACCTGTTTCCCACACCCTGAGGACCTGCCCAAGCCTCTCTTCTTTCTCAATCTATGCTCTCATCCTGGGTAGCCCAACTATCCAGGCTCCAATTGTCCTCTGCACCCCAGTGCTTCCACATCTATGTCCCCAGAAGTGTGGCACCCTCCAGTGTGTCATGAACGCCAACCATTGGGGCCAGTCCAGGTGGCTTGCAGAACATGTGACAGCAGCCCAAAGCCTGACTGGCAGAGAGATGAGCCTGGCTTCTGCAGTACCCCTGGGTTCACACATGTTCTCTCATCCTGGTGAGAAAGGACTTCGTCTTTAGTGATCAATATAATTTCTCAAACTCAGTTTAGTGCATGTATTACAGTAAAGGACTTGCACGTGTAGCTGGAACTTTAAACCGAGCCAGTGAGATGGGTCAGAGAGAGAGTAACATTCTCATTGACAAGAAAATAAAGATGAAAGAGGCAAAGTAAATATCCCAAAGCCACAGAGTAAGCTGGTGACTGCAAAGTGGAAACTGGAACTCAGCTCTCCTGGTCTCCACACTGAGGTTGGTTACTCACTCAACAAACATTCACTAAGCACCTCTTGGGTTTGGCTCTGGGGATAGAACTATAAACAAAGCAGGTGTTTTGTCTGCCTCTTCTAATTGAAGAATGAGACAGCAAATGACAAAACAGAAGTAGACTATGATGTCAGGGTGCTAAATGCACTTACCTAAGGATCCTGGCATTAATGCTGCTGATCTATTTTCCTGGGTAAAGACTACCTCTCCCTATGTCTTCCTCCAGAAATTGTTTATTTAACTCTCTCTGATAAGAAAGAGGCATCTTTGCTAAGGGAACTTGAATTCCAGTTTTTTTTCTTGTTAATTAAATTATGAACCAATCTGTTGGGTCAGTAGTTTGAAATTGTATTAAAAATAAAAAAGTCATTTTCTTTCTCCTACCCAACTGCTCCTACTGGTCTCCAACTTTATCTATGCAAATCCCCTGAGGAAGAGAGTTTGGTCCACCTGATTAGCCCTAAGAGGAAGGATTCCCTTCCACGGGCTGCTGAAATAGAAACACTCTCCATCCAAACACAAAGCATCCAGGGCCAGCTGACGAGGGAATTAGTGATTGGAACATGAGGGGTCTGGGTCTGCACCGTGGCACGTGTGGCCAGGTGCTCCCATCACACAGCCACAGTGTGCAGAGCACACAGATGTGACGGTCCTCGGGTGCTGGATAAGCTGATGTAGGGAACTTGACATTGGTGACTGTTTCTTAGCCTCTACTGTGTGTCAGGTTCACAGCTTTGTGTAGGTGAGAAGGACATAATTAAGCGAATGTAGCTGGGAGTCACAGGGACAGTGATGTGCATCTGCACTGGCCCAGAGACAGCCCATCAGTTCTGCTTGGGGAGCTCAGGAAAGGATGGACCGAGGAGCTGACCCGAACGGCATCTTGAATGACAGGAGATAATCAGTGTGTGGCTGGCAGCGGGTGGCTGTCAAGGGCACTGTAGACAGACTCCTGCTAGAGAAAGAGCTCAGGAAGTTGAGTGGGGCATGTACTTGGGGACGGCTAGAGTGTGAGTGAGACGCAGGGGGAGGGATGTTGTGGGAAATGAGCCTGGAGGGATCAGCACCAGCCACACAGGGAAGACCCTTGTGTGTGCTGTTGGGAGTTCGGGCCTCAAGCTGGAGGCCATTCGGAACCACTGAAGGGTTTGAAGCCGGGAATGGCATGATCAGATTTGCACTTAATGAGGCTTGCTCCGATGGTGGTTTGGCCTGAAGATTAACATATTGGATGAGAGAAAGAGGCATCCGGCACCTTCTTATTAAAGGTCAATGTGATTTGCTTAACCAAGCTTGCACAAGAAACATATTGGGTACTCTAGCGTGCTGCTATTATTGTGTTTTATTTTCTTCAGGGGAGTGGGGAGGAGAGAATGCAGCAAGCACCATGAGGAGCATTTCAGGCATGACCAGAGTAAAGAAAAAAGGAGCTCTATGCTGAAATGATAATCGGCCCTTGGGTGGTAGCACACTTGAAGAGAGGGCTGGAGGTGAGCACAGGCCAGGAGCAAAGGACAAAGGGTGATGTTGATGGATTTACCCCAGGATTGTTGATGGGGGGGACAACTGTTTCCAGAACATCACAGAGGATGCAGTGGCCACAGAAGGCCTGGACAGATCTTTATTCCTCATTGTATTCTTTGGTTGAATCTTGTTAATGTTCCTGCTTCATCTTTTGCCCTTTTTATTTCCCAGGCTATAGGACTTGGACAGACCCAGCATAAAGAGTCTGAGCTTTGGACTCCTGCCCGAATTTGGATGCTGACTTTGTTGCTCATCGTCTGCATGAACTTGGACTCACCGATAACAGACTGATCCTCTGCTTCCACATCTGTAATATACAGATGGTTGGAGTCCTTGGCTCACGGGGTTGTTTGAAGAATGCATGCAATCATGCTTTGCAAGCGTTATGCAGCACAAGGCCCAGCCTAGGTTAAGTAGCAATTCTGGGTAGCAGTGTCCTTGCCTAGCTTCTGGGGATGACCACTGCTTTCTTCCCCAGGACTCCCTGGTTTTTCCCACTGAGTTGGTGCCCTCTTTTTAAAATGTATTTATTGAATTAGTTTGCCGATGATTATTTACCTATTTGACGGTCCCCATAAACTGGGAGCCTTTCAGAGAATTATTTGCATCTTTTATCTCTGAATCCTAATTGTCAGCATGAAGTTCTCTACATAGTAGGTACTCAATAAATGTAGACTAAATGAATCTATGAAATGGTTTCTGCCTGGAAGCCCGGCTAGTGGTGTTGCTGGGAAGAACCAAGAGAGGAAAAGGCAACCTCTGTCAGATGATGGAAGGTATCCATCTCTGAGGCTTCAGCCTGTACAATTAGCTTAGACACATGCTGCCTACCACCCCCCCCCTTACAGGTCACACTCCAGGACATTGGGATGAGACTGATGGCTTTGTCTCCATCTCCATGTGGTATTTCCATGTGTCTACTCCAAGTAAGCCTGTACCCTCAACTACCTTGCTGAAGTTGGTCTGCATTTAGCATGTAACATTTGTCCTTCTGACTCACCACTCTGCTTCAAAGGCTGCTATTAAATCAGTGTTCTCTCTTTTAGGTATTAGGATGTGAGAGCGGCAGGCTACCTTTTTGCATCTTCTTTCTCCCTCATGGAAGCTTGCTTGTATTGGGTAGGACACAAACTCTGGGATTCAAGAAAGGAATATGGCCAAACCAGAAGTTTTCAGTCCTAGTGTCCAGGCACACTGGGTGTCTCCCCTGGCCAACCAGGCCTGGAACTGAGTATCACCCACAAGCTAGCTTGTCCACATAGCAACCAGCAGACCCCCAGCCTTTTGTGTACCTCAGTGTTATGGTCTGGTTATTGTAGGCAGAACGGAAGCCTGAGAATTAATTCACTGGATGTTGAATCCTCCTCTCCAAATTCTCCAGGCTCTAGTCATTAGAGTAAGGATGGCAAAAAATCTAGAAAAGGTCAGGATTGTTTGTGCACAGAGAGACACAAATAGAGCACAGAGCACAAAAGAGGCCAAATGGGGTAATGACACATGTCTCTGCTAGCTTTAAGGACATTTATGGAGAGAAAGTCATGGCAGAAGTTCAAATAGTTTTT